ACTACTTTGAAATTACCTATAGCTGAACGGACTTGCCCTCTAGGTCCCTGATATTGCTGGAGGGGGCAGCAGTTATCATGTAGCAGGTAGGAATGGATAGCAGTGGCTAGAAGGAAAAATAATTTGATACAGCAGCAGCCACTGAACACAGTCTGAGGCTGCAGGGCTCTACTTTCAAGGAAAGTGTATCTTCCCTGCTAGAAGAACATGCAAACATTTCTTGGATCATCTTCCTATATCAAAATTACTGAGGGAATCAACAGTGTGGTGAAAAGGGTGAGAACTTCTGTAGGTTAACACACAGGATCAGGTACGCAACCAAACTCTGTCGCTGTAAGAAAAGTTATTTCTTGAAGTAATTGCGATATGTAATTTGATTTACTGTTCTGCACAGAAGAGATATGGGGTGGTAAATCCCAGAGCCAGCACCCCAGGCACAACCTTGGGCTATGAAGTCTTACTTAAGTCACTGCTTGGCTTGTTATTGGCTCCTCCTTTCTCCACTTCAAATTAAAGCCATTGTGTCCCAAGAAATCATTGTTCATGCTCGGTGAGTGGTGGTCTTTTTGCAGGGGGAGGTGCCTGAGCTGGGGTGTGGTTTTTACTATTATAGGGAGCAAAAGTTCATCACTGGAGCAAGTTCTCACTACAGAACTAGTCAAAGTTGGGGATTTTTTTAGTACATCATTACACATTCTGGATAAGAAGGGCGTTATCTTTCTGTGTTTTCCCTCTTCAAGAACTTAGGCCATAAATTTTCTATCTTCCACATTCCTGTGATTATTGCTTCCATTGCTTAACCACTTTGTTCTTTACCTTGTTTGGAACTTCATTCCCATTATTCATCAAGGTGGTGAGAGGAAAGGTGGGTGACAGTATTGGTGTTAACGTCTTTGAAATGGGTCTTAATGTCTGTACTAACTTTGGGCAGCAGGTTTGTTGCAGACACCAGACAACTTGGCTCCTGAAACAGCCAAGCGGGTCTGCACAAGCCTGAACTTCTGAACTTTCGGGTAAAAGAGCAGGTTCAAGGGGGGAGGGAATATGTGGTAGGCAATTTGGGAAGGCTGGACCTTCCTGTTACTCAGCCAATGGGGAAAGGAAGAGGCAACATGAGGCTGCACCCTCCAAAACCTCAAGAGAGAGAAAACCCCACGGGTGTGTGCCCTGGTGGACTCTCTCTCTTTATTCAAATAAAGTTGAAGGGCTTCTCTGTCTCCTTTATAGACATAAACTTCTGGCGTTTGTGAAATTTCCTAACAGTGGGAACCAGTATGGGAGTGCCTGTGGGAAATCCCACTCGAGGTTTAAGGTCCACTTGCATTGGTCCAAGAAGCTTAGTCCATCTTTAGACAAAGTGCAATTATGTCCATTCATATTTAAGTTATGATAGTGATTGACTCGTGGCCCTGTCAAAAGCCAAAATAATTTGAACAAGCACAAGTAGTAATGAGCCAGAGCAGAATTGAAGTGGAGCCACAGACCAACTGAACATGAAACAAACTGGAGCTACAAATAAGCTGAAGCAGAAATGAAGCCAGGGAAGGTGAAACCAAACTGGAGTCTAAAACATGCTGGAGGCACAAACAAACTTTATGAGCTGAACCGGAGACAAACTGGGGACAGAAACAAATCACCTGAAGCTGCAAATGAGGTGAAGCAGAAAGCAGCGGGAATCTTCCCCGAGCAGGAGACGTAAACTAACTGGAGTCACAAAGGAAATGCGGCTGCCAGCTCCCCGCAGCATCTCTGTGCGGGATGAGCGGGATGTGCAGGATGAGGAGGGCGCTAGCAGGGCCGTGCTGAGGGCAGGCAGCAGCAACATCGTCCTCAGTGCAGGCATCCCGGCGTCTTCTCGGGGGATCCACACCCGACCCGGGTCGCTCGGGCTCGAGTGGTTCCGGGCGTGGCCAATTCGAGCTATCCTGCCGGGTTACAGCAGAGCCAGCGCGGGACCGAAGGGTTCGTCCTGCCGGCAGTGGCTCTGAAAAAGAGCTGGGGAGAAGAAACCAGGTGAGGCCGGGTGGCAGGAGGGGGGTGACCTGCAGCTGCTCCCCGGGACGGGACCCCCGGGAAGGGCCCCTCAGGCTCCCGCGGCCCCGGGCGGCGGCGCCCCCTGGCGGCCGCGGACGGCGGGGACTGTGCGGAGGCGCCGCGCGCCTGTCCCGCACCGGGCGCCGCCTGGCGGCCGCAGCACAACACCACAGCGGCACGGCACCGCAGCGGCACGGCACCGCAGCGGCACGGCACCGCAGCGGCACGGCACCGCAGCGGCACGGCACCGCAGCGGCACGGCACCGCAGCGGCACGGCACCGCAGCGGCACGGCACCGCAGCGGCACGGCACCGCAGCGGCACGGCACCGCAGCGGCACGGCACCGCAGCGGCACGGCACCGCAGCGGCACGGCACCGCAGCGGCACGGCACCGCAGCCCCGGGAGCGGCCCCGGCACCCCCTGCCCGCACCCATCGAAGTGCAGCTCTGGGCCATGTGCAGCAAGGTTGCATGAGGATAAGGCTGGCCATCCGCTCCTGGGGGCCAGCACCAGAGAGACAGCTCCGGGAGGGACACTGTTAGGAGCATGAATCCACGATGTCAGAGGTTTATGTCCAAAAAGGAGACAGAGGAAACGTGTGACTTTATTCAAATAAAGGGAGAAACCGTGGGAATTTCCCATTAAGTCTCTCGGATTGCTGAGGGTCACAGCTCCCTTTTTATCCTAAGTTCCTGGCTGCATCACCCTCTTCCTCATTGGCTGAGGTACTTGGAAGGTGCAGACTTCCCGAATCACCTCCTCTATGCCCCCCTCTAATACGCATCCCCCTTTTGTTATATAATAGAAAGAAGAATATAAAGCTATTCACAATTCTATTAAGTCTTTGTTCTTTTTCTCTAGGTTCAGGAATTTAAAACGGCCTTGGCTAAGCAACAGTCCATGTTGATTAATAACATTTTCTAGAACTAATAGTTTCTTCTGTTACTTCCTTATCTATGAATTCCTAGGCCTATTTACAAGCCGATTCACATGGTCTGCTTGTAAAGACATACTCATCCCTTTCAGACATCATGCCTGGGATGGATACTATAGCCAGAATATGGGCACTGTAGTTTGAATATGGACACCATAGCTGGGATATCATGTCTCCAAACATGCCCTGCACACGGCAGAAAGACCGTCCCACCCTCCCATCCCCACCTTCAACCCACAAATAACCAGCCACAGCCATAAAGAATTTGTGTAAAACCAGCTTTGCCACTGAAGTCACTTGAGAAAGAAAACAAGTTTTCCATGGCTGGAAAGGTCTCATGGAAGAGTCTCATGTCTCCACCCAGATATGTCCCTCTCCATGGCCCCTCTGGCCATGGGCCTCTCCATGTCCCATGTGCCAGCCACACACTCCTTCTGCCTCACTCAAGACAAGATCTTTCCATGCTGGCCCTGGCCATGTTCCCCTGAGGCACCTCAAACCAGCCACATTTACCCTCGTGTCCTCTCCCAGCCGTGTCCACGCCGTGCCCAGGAACACCCCCCCCGCATTTAGATCCCAAAACCGCTGTGCTGCGCTGCCACTTTGAGCCACGGACCCCGTGCTGCATTCCCGGTGTACGAGTACCACGATGGCCACATCAAGGGCCCCCTCCAGTCTTATTTCAAGTAATTTGTCCTTCTCTAAGCCAGCTGTGGTTAACCTTGGGGGACAGGAGGGGCTTCATCCCAACCCCAGAGCCAGGGTTTGGGCACGGTGAGCTGGGGAGGGTGGGGAGTGTTTTTTACACACTGTTAACTCCTTCAGGAGAGAAAACAACCCCGGCTCCTGATCTGTAAATGCACCTCAATGCGGCTGCGGGGGATGTGTGGGAAAAGGGAGAGCGACTGGCAGGGGCGAGGGCTGGAGCGATGGGAACTTTCCTGGGGAGCTGAGAGCTCACTCAGGACAAGCACCGGTACACTGAGAGCTGTCCCTGCGGGGGTGCCAGCACCGCGGGAGCAGCGGCTGACCTGGACCCCAGGCAGGCAGCACGGTGGGGGCTCACAGCACTGCCCCGCTCCGACAGCTCCCAGTGCCGGCAGCTCCTGGTGCCGGGGCAGCGTGGCCGTACCCACGGAAACATCCCGGGGAGGGGACACGGAGAAGGAAAGGCTCTGGAGCGCTTTCCGCGCTCCCTCAGGGGAACCCCACGGCCTTTCCCCGCCCACCGCCTTTTTCCCGCCAATCAGCTCTCGCTGCCCCCGAGCCCTGGCCAATCGTGCCTGCGCTTCCGCCGCCCGCCGTGAGGGCCGCTCCTTGCGAGCCAGCGCGGCCGCTTCCGGCGCGCCGGGGCCGGGGCCGTGTAGCGGCCGTGTGGCGGCCCTGTGGCGGTCCTGTGGCGGCCGTGTGGCGGCTCTGCGGCGGTCCTGTGGCGGCCATGGTCCGCGCGTTCGTGCTGCTGGCGCCGGGCGGGCCCGCCGGCCGTGCCCCCTGCCGCGTGCTGTACGCGCGCACCTTCGGGACCCCTCCCGGGACCGCCCCCGCGGGCCCCCGGCAGCGCCTCCGCCGCAAGGAGCAGCTGCTGGTCGTGGCCAGGTACAGCCGGGACATCCCCTTCCTGCGGATGCTGGGCTCGGTGGGACACCTTGTGCCATCTCTTGAGCCCTCTGGACTTGTGACACCTCCTCCCTGTCCCTGGGATCCCCAGAGCCGTGGTACACCCTTTGTTTGAGGGGAGGGCTCTTGAGCTTTGCCTGGCCCCCAGGGCTGGAACACCCCTTGACTGTGGGACACCTTCCATTCCTAAGGGGAGCCCTTTTTGGGAGACAGGGCTCGGCGAGAACTCCAGGACCATGCCCCCGCATTCATGGGATCCACCCTTTCTGGGGATGCTGGGCTTGGCAGGACCCCGGGACACTGTCCCCCAACAGAGGGGTCACTGTCCCTGGATGAGGTGGGGGTCCTTAACACGAAGGTCCCCCTTTTCTCTTCCAGGCAAGTGGCCTCCCAGTGTCAACTGCTGCAGTCATCCTTGGGGCGCCTGTCCTCCCCACAACTTCCACAGCTGCCTGATGAGCCAGTGTCACTCCAGGATGCTCCAGGGGGTCTTTTCCAGATGCCCCCTGGAGACCCATTCCCTGAGCGGGTGACAGTAGTCTGGTTATCAGTGCTGGCCCTCGCCTTCGCTTTGGTTTGTGAACCTCAAGAGAATCTATCATTGGCTGAGATCACCCTGCGGCGCCTGGCTCCCCGCCTTCTCCTCTCCCTGCGCCTCCTTGGCCCCGGTGCTGATGTCCTGCTCCGTCCTGATGCCGCTGATGCCCTCCTGGACCGTCTCCTGCCCCATGGGCAGATGCTTTTTCTTAACGAACATTTACTCCAGGCAATGGACCGAGAGCTGGGTATCAAAGCATCCCGCTGAGCTATGGATGACATTCCTGCCTACCACCCACAGATATTTTTGGGGGATGAGAGACAAGGGAGGGATGTAAGATGGTTGCAAAGCCCCAGTGGGATGGATAAGAAACAGTTCAGGAATAAAATGCAACGAACTAGCTAAGAGCAAGGTTTTAATCCATTTATCCCCCAACACCATCATGGGAGAGCTAATAGCCATCCCCATAAATCCTCCTGGAGCTGGGATAGTGCCAAGTTCCTGCGCTGTTTTCCTGCAATGCATTCCTGCACCACTCTGCGTGCACACGACAGCAAGTGGGGAGACTGCACGTGGCTGTGAATGGACACTAAAGAGGGACACTGGGTTGTGGTTACCCCAGCTGGGCACTGTGGGGGAGGCAGGGGGTCCCCAGCAGGGGAGACATGGCTCTGGGATGGGACCTTGCCAGAGTACATGGGGAAAACAGGGGTGTGCATCCGGCCATGGGGCATTGGGGTCTCTGTGTGGGGGATTAGATAAACAGGCAGTGGGGCAGGATGTAGCCGTGTGCCTGGCACAGCAGGGTGGTTGTCCCTAGATGGTGCTGCTTGGGGCCAGGGGACCTGTGTTACATCCTGGGAGGTGGCAGGAGTTGGGACCCACCTATCCAGCTCTGCAGGATGCAGTGGGGAGCAGGGTCCTACCCTAGCAGTTTCTAGAAAATCCAGAGAGCCAGGAGCTGGGGTGCACGGCTTTTCTGCCAGTGTGCCAGGAGCAGTCTGGGCACTGCTAGGCCATGCAGAGGGGCTGTCACGGGGCCAAACCCCAAAGTGCTTTCCCTTGTAACTGCACCAGTAAAGCTGGAGCACCTGAGGAGGGGTGCTGGGCACTTGGCTTCAGCCATGACGTGTCTCTGGCTGTGCCAGGGGATCTCACTGTGCTGGAGGTGTGGGGGCATTGGAGCCCACTGTAACATCCCACCCTTAAGGAGAAGGGAGCACTGTCTTCACCTTCCCATGTGATAGCAGCTGTCACATTCTGCACCCACAACTGGCTTGAACAAAACCAGGAGCCAAAGAGTGTTTCAGTTGAGTGCTAGCAATTTATTGTTGATGAGAATCAACTGGAATCTGAATGTATGGGCCATTATTGTGTATGCACTGATAGGATTCCAATTGCTGGATTTCAATGTCTCCTGGCTTACAGCCAAAATTCTCTTGCAAATCAGCCACCTGAATTGGATCAAATGGGATAATTATTTGTGTGTGATTTTCCTTTCCACCCTGAGGTCTAGTAGATCCAGGGGGAGTTGAAAGAGATAAAGAATCATCTTCTCCTGGTTCTCTGTCATGAGGATCGCCCTGTATGTTTCCATCCCATGTAAATCTGCTGAACTTTTCCTGGAACTTCGATATCTTGGTTGCCGTATATGGCGCTGTTTTGGTAGCAGTTTGCTGACCTTGTCCATCATCTGTATTTCAGTTTTAAGTAAATGTCATGTTATTTCCTCATCATCAGATGAAAATGTTACATGTATTTTTTGTCAGGGTAACAGATCTGTTTATTGTCTTCCAACTCCCTAACTGACAGAGAAAGTCAGAGTTGTGAGATTGTATTTCTGCAGATGGTCCAGATGCTATATCCTGCACTGGTGCCTCCTTTCCCAGAGACCCCACTGACCTGGCCTGGGCTAGGCACTTGTCTTCTGCTTCTCCTTGATCTCCTCCTGGAGCAAGAGCAGCACCTGCTCCATCATGGTGGGTTCCTGTACTGCACAACCTGCTGGATCAGATCATCCAGGGTGGAGCAGGTCAGCTTATTCAGCCCTTTCCTACAAGAGGCATTGAAGGAGCACCCAGGAAGGCAGAGAGGGAAATTCCCCCTGTTTGCAGCACCGTCAGCCAGTCTTGGCCGGTCTGGTCCCCAGGACATGCAGGGACACTGCAGGACAACACAGTGCTCATGAAGCCCTGGGGGGAGGGAGGCAGAGCCCACTCCAAAATTGTCCCATGCCCCAGCTGCTGGCACTTGGAACCTCCTTCACGTCCTGTGTGCTCAGTAGCTGAGCCAGCTCTTGTTAACCTTTACAGCTTGGGTGTGGTGGGAGGGTGGAGGTGCCAGGGCTCCTGGGCACCAGAGCACATGGAATCCTGAGGTACGGCTGGGTAGCAGAGCTGTCCCTGGAGCTCCACAACCCCGTGGCACTCATTAAAGGGGCTGTAGATGTAGGGGAGAAGTGCAGACAGGTGGGAGAAGAGGTGATACTGGGCTCCATTCTTAACCCCTCATGGCTTGGGCTTAGTGCATGGCCAGCATCCATGTTAGGGCAGTAGCCTACCAAGGATCAGGGCATGTTCCTGTGGCACTGGCAGTACCTCTGCCACATGTGATCTGGGCTGGACTTTGCCTGATGGGGCACTGCCCCGGGCACAGTCCTGCCACAAGAACCAGTACTGCCCTGGCACAGTCCTGGCAAAGGAGCCAGCTGATCCCAAGGTTGTGGAGGCTGCCAGCAGGGACGACAGCCAGTTCTGTCTGGACCCACTGTCAGCCATGGAGCAGGAGGATGCAATCAGGCAGGGGCTGGGAAGTCTCCATGGCATTCCCCTCTTCAAGAGCTTCATTGAGGGCTGGCCACAGGTGAAGGCTTTCCAAGCCCGTCCAGATGACTTGCTCATCTCCACCTACCCCAAATCAGGTGAGTGGTCCTGGGGAAGGGTGCAGGGGGGATGGTGTGACACCAGCCGTTGCAGTGCTGTCCCTGTGCTGCAGGCACAACATGGCTGAGTGAAATCATGGACATGATCTACCACGATGGCAACGTGGAGAAGTGCCGACGGGATGCCATCTACAACCGTGTGCCCTTCCTGGAAATGAAGGTCTTCAAGGGTCCGAGTGGTGAGCTTCCCCAGTTCAGCTGCCTGGTTTGGGTGGAGAGGGAACACAGCCAGCGTGGGGGTGAGGGTGCTGGGGCTCACCCCTCTAAGTCCCCTGTGCCACAGGTGTTGAGCAGCTGGAGAACACCCCATCCCCACGGCTTGTAAAGACCCATCTCCCGGTCCAGCTCCTCCCAACCTCCTTCTGGGAGAAGGACTGTAAGGTAACATGGGAGTTTCCCCCTGTCTCTCTCCCCATCTGGGTTGGTAGGGAGGAGGCACCACTTTGTACCTCTCAAACACATCCTTGGCTCTCTCCAGATTATCTATATGGCCCGCAACCCCAAGGATGTTGTCATCTCATACTACTACTTCCACCTGATGGCCAAGGTACACCCTGACCCTGGCACGATGGCTGAGTTCTTGGAGAACTTCATGGCTGGCAAAGGTGTGGGCTGAGCCACAGAATGCCCACCCTGAAATGCTGGTGGGAAGGACATCCCCCGCTACCCTCCTTTTTAGCTAATCCCTTGACCAAATCCCACAGTGGCCTACGGGTCCTGGTACGACCATGTGCGTGGATGGTGGGAGAAGAAGCAGGAGAAGAAGATACTCTACCTCTTCTATGAGGACATGAAGAAGGTGAGGGTGGGATGGAGAAGGAGGAGACCTGGTTTCCCCCAGCTTTTTTGCCAGCCTCCTCATGTCAATCACCCTGCAGGACCCACGGCAGGAGGTGCAGAAGATCTTGCAGTTCCTGGGCAAGGAGTTGGCAGAGGAAACAGTGGAGAGGATCCTGCACCACACCTCCTTCCAGGAGATGAAGAAGAACCCTGCTGCCAACTATGAGACCATGGCCTTCACGCTGATGGATCACAGCCTCTCCCCCTTCCTCCGGAAAGGTGATGGAGGATTTGGGAGAGATGTCCCTGGATTGTATTTCAGCCCCCATCTGTGGCTACAAATACTTAATGTGTGTGAGGATTTACCCCTGTTATTTTCTTGCCCCCAGGGATCACTGGAGACTGGAAGAACCACTTCACTGTGGCCCAGAATGAGCGCTTTGACCAGCACTACCAGGAGCACATGGCAGGCTCTGACCTCCACTTCCAGATGGAGGTTTGAGGTGCTCATCTCCCTTCCCAGGAGGACTGTGCTTCTCCTTGCTCTCCCAGTGGGGAGGGTGGATCCAGATGGAGTTTCTTTCACTAATTCACTTTTCCCCCTGTAATAAATTGTGATAAATGGAGGTTGAGTCATTGCCTGCATGGAAAATGAGGGTGGGGCCTGAAACCCCTGAATCTAGGCAGTGTCCAGGAACACCTTCACGGTCATCAGGAGAGAGGGTGGGCACATAGTGATGGTCAGGCATCACCAGGGGTTTCTGGGGCACCCTCCCAGAAATCACCACTGGCCCCTGTCAACTTGGGCTGCCCCAGGCTAACAAGGTACCTGGAGGGAACAAGATCCATGACGAGTGGAAAATCCCCAGAGCACCAGCAAATCCAGTGCTGCCGCAGCCCTTGCGTGCACAGAAGCTTTCATGCCTCTGGGTTGTGGCAAGTTTCTTGACAGAGCGGGTGGTGGTGAGGCTCTCCTTGGCCCAAGCTGGAGCTTGGCAGCTTATGGTCTGTGGAACAAAGGTGAAGGGAAACTGCAGCCAATTTTGCTGGCATATGGACAGCAAAACACCTGAACACCTGGCATGGCATGCCTCCTCTCACCAGGAACTTGGCCCTGGAGACAAATCAGGGACGTTTTTCTCAAGGCTGCCAACAGCTGATCTGCTGGCCCTGCCCAGCTGCCAGCCCTCCTGCCCTTCTCACTCCCTCCCGACTAAGGTAAGGAAGAACATTTCCCCATCAGCACCTTTAAACACTTTTCCCAGGAGCTTTGCAAACCCTCAAACTTTGGACCCGTATTTGAGTGGAGTAGGGGTACAACCAAAGCCTGAACCCCACATCCCGCTCACAAGCCCCACGTCGGTGTGAGGAGCTGGGTACGTCCACGCAGGTGACTCTTGGACCAGGACAGGGTGATGTTCAATCTCCCGGGATGTGGGTTGGGATTTCTTCCCTGTGTTTACCAGTGCGGCTGGAGGGGGAAGCTGTGACTTCCTCTGTCCGTGCACGTCCCGACGGGCGCTGAGCACGGACAGCTCATCACAGGCATCTGGGGACCGTCCTCATCCCCGCTCGCCCCTTCCCTGCACTCCTCCCACCGCAGCACCGGGACCAGGTCGCTCCAGGCTCCAGTCCCAGCGGTGTCCCCCGCCTCCCTGCGCCTCCATCTTCCATGCAGGGGAAGGAAATTAACAAATCCCGCCCAGTGAGCGGCGGGCAAAGTTTTGCCTCCTCCCTGCCAGAGCACCCGGAAAAGAGGCAAGTAAGCGGGGGGCTTTGGCCACCGTGGTTTCGGGGTGCCCTGGCCTCATAAGCGGGGGGCCTTCGGGGGTGGATAAGGGGGCTCCGTGTCCCCGCAAGCCCCCGGGAAGTGGAAGCAAGACACCAAGCCTCTCTCCAAAAATCACAACGTGGGTGTTTTGCAGCTGTCATATCCAGCGTTTCTGTCCTGGGTGGTGGGTGGAAAGGCTTCCTAGGGAGAGAGTCCTGTGAGCCCTGCTCCTCGTTCCTATCTCTGTCGAACCCGCCCTCAAGCCCCCTGAAAGCCAGGCTTCCTCCGGTGCTGCCGTACAACGGAGAGATGGGGAGGAAAAAGCAAAGAGAAAGCAGCCTGCAACTCCAGCCAGGAATGCCCCTGAGAGTTTTTATACCCAGGAACAGCGCTGCCAGCTTGGTATGGGCAGCTGCGCACTGCCTGTCTGACCTGCGCCCCCCAGAGCTGGTCATGCCCTTGCACTCTCCCTGTTCTGCCACCTGGGCACCAAAATCCCCGCAGAAAACAGGTGCCGCCTCCTGCGATGTCAGCAAGCAGGGCATGGTTTCCTTCCTATGGCCAGGATGGCTGGTTTCAGCAGGGATTTTTTGGAGCCCCCAGGGAAGGAGGTGGCCCTGTGATGCTCCTCCAGCCAGCCCTGCCACATGTCCCTGTCCCCAGCAGGATGGCTGATTCGGACACCTACCTGCGGCAGCCCTGGCGCACCGTGCACGGCATCCCCATGGTCTGCGCCTTTGCCCACAACTGGGAACGGATTGACACCTTCCAGAGCCGGCCTGATGACATCGTGGTGGTCACCTTCCCCAAATCTGGTGAGCATTCCCAGGCACCAGAGAGAGGCCATGCTCAGGAAAGGAGGTACCATTCTGCGGATGCCTGGGCTGGGACTGGGGGCATGCCAAAAGGCAGCACTGGTAGATGGTGACACTCTGGTGCCTGAGATGGGGCTCCAGTGGGAATGCCATCAGCTGGACACCCAATCTTTCCCCACCAGGCACCACCTGGGTCAGTGAGATCGTGGACATGGTCCTGAAAGGCGGTGACCCGGAAAAATGCAAGCAGGATGACATTGTGAACCGGGTGCCCATGATGGAGTGTGCTGCCCCTGGGAAGCTCCCAGCAGGTAGTGGGGCGGCAGAGGGTGCTGGATGGGGACAGGTTTGTTTTTGTTTGGGAGTGCACCGCAGTGGGATCTCTTCTGGGGGAAATCCTTACAGGCGTAGAGCAGCTGGAGACCATGCCATCCCCTCGCATCATCAAGACCCACATCCCAGCTCACATCTTGCCCAAATCCTTCTGGGAAAATGGCTGCAAGGTAACAGGCTGGAATGAACATACTTGGAGGGATCCAGCAGACCTAAGGGCGCTGCCTGCCCCTTTGGGACCTTGCAAGTCCCCACATGTCACCAAGCTTTCTGCAGATGATCTATGTGGGGCGCAATGCCAAGGACGTGGCTGTCTCCTACTACCACTTTGATTTGATGAACAAGTTCCACCCACATCCCGGGACATGGGCCCAGTACCTGGAGGAGTTCATGGCTGGCACAGGTGGGCACAGGGCACCCCTGGGTGCGTGCAGGGGACCCTGCAGGGGACCATCACCCACTGGCTGCTCTCCCCGTGCAGTGGCATACGGTTCCTGGTATGATCACGTCAAGGGCTACTGGGAGCGCAGGAAGGATCACCCCATTCTCTACCTCTTCTACGAGGACTTGAAGGAGGTGATGGGGCGGGGTGGATGGTGCTGTGGGGTCTGGGGGTGGCAGGAGGGGTGAGTGTTGGCCTGTGTCGCACAGGACCTCCGCCGGGAGATTGCCAAGGTGGCCCATTTCCTGGGGCAGAAGCTGTCGGAGGCGGCGCTGGACACCATCACCCGACACACTTCCTTCGAGTCCATGCGGGACAACCCTGCCACCAACTACAGCAAGGTGCCCTCCGACCTCATGGACCACAGCGTGTCCCCCTTCATGCGCAAAGGTGAGCAGCTCTGGGGGGCCTCTGGCTCACTGTCCCCCCGGCCCCTGCTGAGCCCCATCTCGCCCGGCCACAGGCACCACGGGAGACTGGAAGAACCACTTCACCGTGGCCCAGAACGAGCGCTTTGACCAGGACTACGCGCAGAAGATGTCAGGCACTGACCTGTGCTTCCGCACTCAGATCTGAGGAGACACCGCCAGACCCCCCCCAAATCTGCCCCGTGCTGTGATGGCACTGCTGCCGTTCCTTCCTCTCCCCTGGCACTGCTGGAGAGAAATAAAATGTGCTCCCTGACTCTGCCATGGGGTGCTCACTGTCCTGAGTCTCTGCTGATCCTAACCCTGCTGTCCCCCTGGGGCCGCTGTCCTCTTCTTGGGTTGGGGACAAGCAGGTGTTACCCCTGAGCCGCTGTGGTGGGGGGATTGCCAGCAGCAGCTCATGGGATCGCAGAGAGTTTTGGCAAAGCTGTGTATGGGGAACATGTTGTGTGGGTGTGGGCAGTGAGAGGTGTCCTCCCCACCCTGACACATTGGGATGTTTGCTGGGACCTGTGGGACAGAGCAGGACTGGTGCTGCTGGAGATGTCCACTGTGGCCCTGCCTGCAGGTCAGTGGCTGCTGTTTTCTCCCTGCACTCGCTCCTCCCTCCCTGCAGCTGCTGGGCTGGCAAACATTACTGGCCTCTGTGCCCTGCCTCTTTCCTTCTCCTTCCCATAACAACCGCTGTGAGGCCTCGAGTCTCCCCGTCCTCTGCTGTCGCCTTCCTGGTGTCACCGTCCCAGTGTCACTCTCCCAGCGCAGACCAGCAGGTCTTAGGTGAGATGGGTGTCCCAGGGTGCCCTCTGCGTGCTCTGCCTATGCTCAGTAACGCAGCTGTGTGCTGCAGGGTCCAGGGTGGTGGGTTTGGGGCATTTTGTGTTTGTGTGCAATCAGCACCCTTAAACCGTACCCTGACCTGTGGTCTCCTGCAATAACTCTCCCTGCAAGTGCTAGGGACCCAGCTCCCTGCTCCCGTGGGGTGCTGAGGAAAGGGAAGAGGTGCTATTCTAGTCTAATCCCCTAGGTCTGGGTGATGCCAGCATGCTGTGGGCACCCCTGCCCTTGCCAGGGCTCTGGGTGGGCTCCTGTCCCCGCAGTTGGGACCCCTGTTCCGAGCGGTGGGTGCAGCGATGGCTGCGGTGACCTCTGGTCTGTGCTCTGGTGCTATCATTACTGCTTCCTGAGCAGGCACAACGCCAGGTGACCGGGCTGCCCTGGCTGGTGGCTGCCCTGAGAGGGTGGGGGGTGGGGTCCCTCCCCTCATCAGCCAGCGGTGGGGTCCCTCCCCTCATCAGCCAGCCCTGCAATGTGTCCCTGTCCCCAGTAGGATGGCCAGTCCAGACCCCTATCTGCGTCAGCCCTGGCTCACAGTGCACGGCATCCCCATGGTCAATGCCTTCGCCCACAACTGGGAACGGATTGACACTTTCCAGAGCCGCCCTGAGGACATCGTGGTGGTCACCTTCCCCAAGTCTGGTGAGCATCCCCAAGGCAAATAGATGTGCTGATACTGGGTGGGCAAGTGTGTTGTTCAGCTGAGACCCACTGCCTGGAGGCATGCAGCACATTTAGGGGCTGTCAGGACAGAGTTGCGTCAGGATTTCCCTTTTCCCCCATGGCATCTGGTCGAGGTCTGAGGGACCGTCAGTGCTAAGACACCCAATGCTGCCCTGGCTGCTCCCCTTGATGGGTTCCTTTCCCCAGGTACCACCTGGGTCAGTGAGATTGTGGACATGATCCTGCAAGGTGGAGATCCTGAGAAGTGCAAGCGAGACATTATCAGCAGGAGAGTGCCCATGCTGGAGTTCATTGCCCCCGGGAAGATGGCAGCAGGTAGGGAGGTGCAGGGGCACCCTAGAGGGGCCAAGTCCCAAGGGCCTTTGTGAAGGGCCCACAGAGAAAGCGCTCTGGGATCCCGCAGGAACAGACCTGCTGGCCACCATGCCCTCACCCCGTGTGGTGAAGACTCACTTGCTGGCACATATCCTGCCCAAATCCTTCTGGGAGAACCGCTGCAAGGTAACCTACAATCCTGGTCGCTGCCCTGGGGGGAATTACGGCTCCCCTGTTCCCCTGAGACCACACTCCCCACTGCTCCCTCCAGAATCCTAAGTAGCCATGGGAGTTCTAGGAGCTGGAGTGTCCTCCCTGTTGGGGGTCCTGGGGCTGCCCCTCATATCTCCATGGCACATCTGCAGATGATCTATGTGGGGCGCAACGCCAAGGACGTGGCTGTCTCCTACTACCACTTTGACTTGATGAACAAATTGCAGCCGCACCCTGGGACATGGGCCCAGTACCTGGAGAAGTTCATGGCTGGCACAGGTGGGCACAGGGCACCCCTGGGTGCGTGCAGGGGACCCTGCAGGGGACCATCACCCACTGGCTGCTCTCCCCGTGCAGTGGCATACGGTTCCTGGTATGATCACGTCAAGGGCTACTGGGAGCGCAGGAAGGATCACCCCATTCTCTACCTCTTCTACGAGGACTTGAAGGAGGTGATGGGGCGGGGTGGATGGTGCTGTGGGGTCTGGGGGTGGCAGGAGGGGTGAGTGTTGGCCTGTGTCGCACAGGACCTCCGCCGGGAGATTGCCAAGGTGGCCCATTTCCTGGGGCAGAAGCTGTCGGAGGCGGCGCTGGACACCATCACCCGACACACTTCCTTCGAGTCCATGCGGGACAACCCTGCCACCAACTACAGCAAGGTGCCCTCCGACCTCATGGACCACAGCGTGTCCCCCTTCATGCGCAAAGGTGAGCAGCTCTGGGGGGCCTCTGGCTCACTGTCCCCCCGGCCCCTGCTGAGCCCCATCTCGCCCGGCCACAGGCACCACGGGAGACTGGAAGAACCACTTCACCGTGGCCCAGAACGAGCGCTTTGACCAGGACTACGCGCAGAAGATGTCAGGCACTGACCTGTGCTTCCGCACTCAGATCTGAGGAGACACCGCCAGACCCCCCCCAAATCTGCCCCGTGCTGTGATGGCACTGCTGCCGTTCCTTCCTCTCCCCTGGCACTGCTGGAGAGAAATAAAATGTGCTCCCTGACTCTGCCATGGGGTGCTCACTGTCCTGAGTCTCTGCTGATCCTAACCCTGCTGTCCCCCTGGGGCCGCTGTCCTCTTCTTGGGTTGGGGACAAGCAGGTGTTACCCCTGAGCCGCTGTGGTGGGGGGATTGCCAGCAGCAGCTCATGGGATCGCAGAGAGTTTTGGCAAAGCTGTGTATGGGGAACATGTTGTGTGGGTGTGGGCAGTGAGAGGTGTCCTCCCCACCCTGACACATTGGGATGTTTGCTGGGACCTGTGGGACAGAGCAGGACTGGTGCTGCTGGAGATGTCCACTGTGGCCCTGCCTGCAGGTCAGTGGCTGCTGTTTTCTCCCTGCACTCGCTCCTCCCTCCCTGCAGCTGCTGGGCTGGCAAACATTACTGCCCTCGCCTCCCTGTCCCTGCCCGTAAAAACTGCTGCCGTCACCTTCCCGTTGTCACACACGCACACACTCCTGGTGTCACCGTCCCAGCGTCACTCTCCCCGTGCAGACCAGCAGGCCTTAGGTGAGATGGTTGTCCTGGGGTGCTCTGCCCATGCTCAGCTGCACAGAGCTGCTTGTGTGGGGGTCCTGGGTAGTGGGTTTGGGTACTTCGGGGTGCAATCAGCACCCTTAAACCTTCCCCTGATCTAGGATCTGCTGTAATAACCCCAGGGACCCAATTCCCTGCTCCCCTGGGGTGCTGCAGCAAGGGGAGAGGTGCTTGTTCCGGGTGATGCTGGCACACTGTGGGCACCCCTGCCCTTGCTGGGGCTCTGTCCCCGCAGTTGGGACCCCTGTGGGTGCAGCGATGGCCGCAGTGACCTCTGGTCTGTGCTGCGGTGCTATCACTGCCGCTCCCTAGGCAGCAACAATGCCTGATGATGAGGCTGCCCTGGCCATTGCTGTCTGCCTGGTCTTTGCCTAACTCCTTCCTGCTGCAGCAGCAGCAAACTCTCCCACAAAAACAAACCATTGGCAGGATGACTGGGTAAGTCACGGGGAAGGGCTTGCCATGGGAGCATGAACAGCAAACATGCATGAAAAGGTGGAATGGAGAGAGCAACTTCTCCTTTTTTCGGCTGGTGAGCCATTAGATGAGTCCCATCATGGCCATGCCCATGGGATTTTCAGATTTGCCCATCACCATAGTACGAAGCTTTCTTGGGAGGTTGGACAGATCTGCAGGGAGCTGGGTAAGTCTGCTGCTGCTACTTGCTGTAGAACTGACAAGGACAGGGTGCAGCATTTATTCTTTCACCAACAATGCAGATTCCTAGCAGGGACACCAAGCTTGGCCTGAACCTTCCCTCATTTCTTTGATGTTTTGGCTTTGCAGAGTGGAAATGGCTCCCATGCCAGCCACCCTGATGGCTGTTTACCTGCCAAGGTGCCCCTGCAGCATTTCAGCAGCCGTGAAGAGAGTTTGTAGAATCTTAAACTGAATCAAAAAAATCCAAGTGCAATGCTATAAACCTAGCCCCTGTTTTTTTTCATCCTGTGGTAATAGTGCAGAGGTATAAAGATACAATTTATTCAAGAAAGGTGGTCATGGTGAGGCTACTTCATCTCATTAACTTTTGCTGGAGTTTCCCTATACCCTGGGGATTACAAGTCTTTTACTGAGCACACGCACATGTGACTGCAGAATTGCTCAATCCTGTCACTTCTGCATGTAGGGATGAGCCAGCTTTGAAATTTTCCCAATCTAGTACCTCCCTTCCTCTTGCCAAACCCCCCACCCCACAAAAAAAAAGAAAAAAAGGTAAGTCAAGACTTTTAAGTCTGCTTTCAGACCAGAAGCTGCTTTGTTGCATTAAGTGAAGGGGAAAGCACAGAGTCATTTGGTGCTTCTTCAGGGCAAAAGCTTCCCTTTTCCACCCTGGCCCCGAATTTCTGAGGTGCTGGCTGGCATCGAGGTTTCCTAGAAATCAAAGTGCCATGCACACCCCCAGCCACACAGCACAATGGTGAAGAGACAGACCCATGTGTGGAAAACATGAGTTTGCATTGCCTAACTTCTGCATGAGGGCCTTAGCCTTGAAAAGTCTGTTGTTTTTTAACAAGGCTGGAGGTTACATCATGGTCTGCAGCACTTCTGTCAGTAATGTTAGAGGTGTGAAATACAGGCACTTAACACCATCGATATTCTTCTGCCCCACTTCTCTGACATTTACTGGATTTTGTTCTTTAATCCTCTCAAAGTTCTTATCTTCTCTGATCTGAGTAATCTGAGTATCATCTTTGGAGCTGGCCATGGAAACAAGACAAATTGAACTCTTTGGTTCCCCAAACAATTGCTCTCATTTGCTATGGAGGAATTTGATACTAAGGAGTGGGAAATAAAAAATAAATTCCCATCTAAGTTTTTATTCAGGGAAGTGGTCACAACACCAAGTCTGAGGGAGTTCAAGAAGCATTTGGACAATGTTCTCAGGCACATGGTGTGATTTTTGGGGCTGTCCTGTGCAGGGCCAGGAGCTGGACTTCAATGATCCTTGTGGGTCCCTTCCAGCTGAGGATATTCTACGATTCTGTGATCTGCTGTAGCCCATATGAACATGGCCTTTCAATAGTTGCTGGAAAAACTTTAAGTTTCTTATAGGACTTTACAAAATAATCTAAATTAGCCTGAAAAAAAAACCCCAATCATATTCTGTATACAAAGGTCTGTGGAGAGACTGCAGTGAAATTCCTGGCTGTAAGGCCAAATTATGGTTGAAACATGCTGGCATAATAGTACTGGAATCTGAGGGTTTAGAAAAAGCCCTGTTGAATATTATGGACAATACTTAAAAATCACTGATTAATAATCACCTTTAGATTCCTAGGTTCTAGGTTTAGATTTCCAGGTTATTAAACACTTGCCTAGATCTCCAGAATCAAAGGCCACAGAGCCAGCAGAAGTAACATCCCAACTTTTGGAAACTCACACATACAGCACCAACTTTTGAAAATCTCTGCAAACAAACCACAAGATTCACTCTTTGTTGCTGTTGACAGTTTATAAACATATCTACCATAAAACAAACAATTTTGTTTTGCTGGGGGGTAAAAAAGTCTTTTTAACACTTTAGTCAGACACCATATTTCTTATCTCTAGGATACAGTCCTCCTAAGAAGCTGGCTCTGTAATAACATTATAGTATATCCTGGCAAGGGAAAGACCATCTCAACCATTAAATTCCCAGAGCATAACAAAGCAATGAATTAACACAGAATACATTCCTTGCTGCCATTATCCAGTATTTTATTACTTCCTCCTTTTGAAAAGTCCAGTTCAGAGGGTAACTTACTTAAGGTCCTTCTGTCTGATAACCAATCCTGCTGGAGCAGCCCAGGCACAGAGGAGGGGAGCAGTAAGGAAAAGCAGTAAAGTGGTTTTGCAAATCACACCTTGCAACTCAGAGCACAATGTTTATGTACCTTGGAAGACTCTGCTAGGTAAGAAATTTTTGCTGCATGGCATTTGCTCCCCAAATTGTGTTAGATCAAGTGTATCATTATATGTGTGGGTTTTAGTTGTCATTTTGGCTCCAGGTGGTTAAAGAACTGCTTCCAGGCATGGTGTTTATATTCAAGGGACAGCTTTCCAACTGAGAGCCATCGCAGATGATGTAGGTTTTGCTCTTTAGAGGCTCAGCCCCATGTTTAGACACCCAAACTGAGCTCACAACATGACCAGGTTGGTGGTGACATGCCACAGGCAGTAGCAACAGACCCACTGTGTTAAAAGTTTTCTGGGAGCAGTTGGAAGCTACTGGTGACCTATTAGAACAAACTGCATGTTATTACTGGCATTATCATCAACCAAATGATGGGTTTGTTGACTTCTCTCAGCATAAGAAATATCAGCACTTTTAGCATCTCACTGTGAAAAAGGATGCCAAGTCAGCCCTGTGGCCTCTCATTCCTTGGCCTGTCTCTGGCATTGCTAATTCATGGGAAAAAATGCAAGGGATTTGTGTGAGTCTCAGGGCTGGCATCCAGGTGACTAACTCCTTTGACAGCAGTGAGGACTGCTGTTATCCTCCTAACAAGAAAATAGAACTCCTTCGGTGGGAAGCTAACAGGGTAGAAGGCAGAAAGGGAACAACGAATCACCAAACTTCTTTTTTTTTTTTCTTTTCAGAGCTCAGATGAAACACAGGTTATAAAGGCAATACCTGTGCAACAGCAAAGTTTCACTTCTGCTAAGAGTGCTAGTAAAGAGCCATCAAACACAACACAGAGGTGCAGCACTCCCAACTGGAAGGGAAAATTCCCAGACTATCTAGCCCTAAACTCTGCCATGGCCATGAAAACAACAGGTTCAAAGAAATACCTCCAGCTGCTACTTTTTCAGGTTGCCCTGCTAGGGCCTGTCTTCTGTGGGAAGATACTGGTTTGGCCAACGGAAGGTAGCCACTGGATGAACATGAATGTAATTATACAGGAGCTCATCCGCCGTGGGCACAGCTTTACCATCCTGGTATCCAACGCTACCCTCTACATTGAACCCAGGCCTAAGGCCACGGAGAAGTTTGAGACCTATTATGTGCCCTTCAAGAAAGATGTTCCTGAGAACCTGATTAATGGAATAGTGGATCTGTGGCTCAACAACAGGCCAACTATTTTGACCTTCTGGCAGTTTTACAAGGAGCTGGGAAGACTGTCCGTAGGCTGGCAGGAGATGAACAAGATGATGTGTGATGCAGTGCTGACCAACCAAGAGCTGATGGCTCGTCTGCAGGGGTCTGGCTTTGACCTGATGCTGTCAGACCCTGTGACCCCCTGTGGGGAACTCGTGGCTGTCAAGCTGGGCATTCCCTTTGTCTACTCACTACGTTTCTCCCCAGCCTTCACGCTGGAAAGGCACTGTGGCAAGATCCCAACCCCACCATCCTACACGCCTGCAGCCCTGTCTGAGCTCACTGACCACATGTCTTTTGGGGAGAGAGTAAAAAACTTTGTGTCTTACCACCTGCAAGACTACGTTTTCCAGAGCTACTGGGGACATTGGGATATCTACTAC